CCACGTGGTGCGCAATCGTCGACCGGTCGACGCTCGCACCACTTTCCAAGGGTGCGAATACATTTGAGCGTGGAATTGTTGTCGAGGATATTTTTTGCGGATGCCTTGAGAGTTGTTGTCGTTGTTCTTTTTTCCTTTTTTTTTTTTGGAATAACTTTCGCTATTAACTAAAAGAAGGGAAGAGATGGAAGGAGACGTAATTCACGAGGACGAGAATTTTATTCTTAGACGAATTCGTATTCTGAAGGCGAACGAAAGATTGTGAATATTGTTTCGAGAATATTTTTCAAATTTAGAAGGAACTTTCGCGCACTTTCGTGTTTTCGAAAGAGAGCAGAGTGTTCGTTTCGAGAGAAAGTTTCGTAAGTTTCGAAAGTTGTTGGAAGTTATTTTTTTTTCGCTAGTTCGTCGAAAGTGAAAGTTATTATCGAATAGTTGATCTCATCTTGTTTTAGGTGTAGTGTGAATTTTTTTTAGAGTTTTAGCCTCAAATGTATTTGCACCCTGAAGATTTTAATCTTGAGAATTGGTATGGTAAAGGAACGGGTTTGAGAAAATATTTTTGTAAATGAAATGTTAACGCGAATGTCAAAGAATAATTTTCGCGTTAAACACAGTGAAAAATAATTCTCTCAGATGGATGTCCAAGATACGAATTATTATAACGTAATTTAATATTTTAATTAAAGATTTAAATAATTTAAATTTTCCATAGATGATCATTGAGAGTGATTTTTATTTTCAACGCAATATCCACTAGCGAATATTTCTCCAGTATTTTATTCTCGGTTTTATTTTCTTTTTCCTCTTTGTCTCTGAGCTGTTTACGCAGAGAATTTTGATTTTGATCGCATTTGTTGTTGTCAGTTGTTAGTGGTTGAGAGATTGGGGGTCCAGGATGAGTGATGAAAATGAATGGAGCATGGAGTGAGTTGTTAGGTGTGAATACTGGAATGTATAGCATTTGTGGTAGATGTAGGTGTACAAGGGGGAGAATTGTTCGGGATGAATAGAGAGATCAGGGTGAAAATTTAATGGGATGGGCTTGGATTATTTCCAGGCAGATAGTTTGAGGTAAAGAGTGAAAGTGATTTTTATATTGGTGTGATGAATTATTTGCTTGACATTTTTTATTCGAAATGAAAATAATAATGTTACTAATAAAATGGTGAACAATTTCATAAGAGGTATAATATTTAAAAGGGGGAAGAAAAATCAAGAAATACAAGATATTTCTAAATAGAAATTTAAAATATTTAGATTGGTTTTGAAGATACAAAATACAAAAAATTTAAATGTGATTGTAATATTATAATATTTATCTTATATATACATTATTATTCGAATAGAATAATTTAAGATAAGTAAAAATATAGTAAATAAAAAATAAAATACAAAATTTTACTTTATAATTGTATTATAAAAGATTATTTCGATATTGCAATTCTGATATACATGTACAAGGAACAAATTACTTTATATATATATGAGAATGTTTATTTATTGAAAATATTGAAAATATACAGAATATATATAAAATGTACGGAATGCACGTAATATTTTATTTTTTTATTTATATTTTAAAATATGAATTTGCAAAAATACTTATATGTAAATATCGATATTTTTAATAAATACTTTTGCAATACTTTATACAAATACTTTATTTATTTGAAATATTTTTAATTTCGTTTGTTTTATTTAATACAACAAAAATTTTAAAAATGTAACTTCTATTACTTTTACAAATTCATATGACGCAATTAATAAATGGTGCATTTAGTATAACATTTAATATAGAATTATTAATGTAGAATTATATTTGTTAACAATTCGTAATGCAATTCCCATTCTTACTCTAAACTTGCCAGGGCCATCTTGCACAATTGAATCGAATATTATCGGTGTAACTTCGTAAATCATAAGTTTAAAGTTACCATTGTTGATAAATTCTCTCGTAACAATTCTCTCTTCTCTATTAACTACCATATAATAATGCAGTAAGTAAATCCTATAAATTGGTTCCACAAATCTATACCTTCAATTCGTTGTACCATCAATCTTATCAAACATTAACCAATCGATAGATTCCAATGCATCTATTTTCAACATCTTGATTCTAATTTAAACGTCGATCGATAAATCGAAGAAGAAGAAGATAAAATTAAAAGAAAAAAGGAAGAAATCCACGCTCGAAAAAACCGAACGAAAATACACGTACCATCGTTCATATCCTCCATCATCCATAATATCGATCGTATCGTTCGAAAAGTCGAACAAAGAAAAACGAGAAAAAGAGAGAAAGAGAGAGAGAGAGAAACGAAAAGAGACATCCTTCAAAGCAACGAAATCAGAATACATAAGCCACCCTTGAACGACGCCAAGCGTGTCATTTGGCGCGACGTCAGCCGCTTTTTACCAAACCACGAAACACCGTTCTCGACTTTCCCTGCGGAGGGGTAGGTTGAAAAGCCGCGGCTTCGTCGCATTGTGCGCCGTCGAAGCGGGAAACATTGCGCCCTACGTGCAAACCGGCCATCGATCGGTGTGCACCGCGCGTGCAACGAGGAGGATGCCACGTAACCGCGATACCATCGAACGAACGAAGACAAAGAATGCGAAGGCAGCACGGTGGAGAGAGAGAGAGCAAAAGAGAGGAGCAGGATACCGGTCGTAAATTTTCGGGGTTCACGGGCCGGTGAAGGTCAAGTACTTGGTCATGGTTGCACACTGGGATGGGATGAGAGTCACTGGACCGATGTGCTCCAGAAAATCCAGTGCCGCTTTTCGCGTGTAGGCAATTTCGTGAGTGCTTCGACCAGCTTATCTATGGTTCGTGGCGGTCGAATTCGCGGAGAAAATATCGTACGATCCACTTGCAATTGTGGAAGATTGCTGTGGGTGGAGGAAAAAGGAATGCGAGCTCCTTTTCCGCGTTTTATGGGATTTTGAGATAGGAGTTGAAAACAGGGGGTGGAGTAGAAGTTTGGGTATATTCCTGTAGTTTCCTTTGATTTCGCTATTTATATTCTGCAGATTTTATATCATGTTTTCTTTCTCTTTTCACTCAAGTCGTTTCTACGTTCCTTCGAATCGTTTGATAAATATTTCTATAATTGTGAAAGCGTGCTTTTTTTTAAAATCGTAATTGATATTATCCTTTTTTTTTTTTTTTTTTTTTTGATTTTGTTATATTACTATTATATCACAAACAACAGAAATTTTCGTGAAACTTGGAAGAATAGATTTTTTGTTGTTGATCTTACAGTAAGAATATACCGTTTCAAAATAAATGGAACGAAATTTCAGAAAATTGCTAGTTTCACGAGCATCGCGTGCATCGATGAATTAAATAAAAACGTTGGAAGAAAATTGGATTGAATCAAGCGTAGATATGTAACTACACAATTTTGTCAATATTTAATTAATTCAAGCGAAAAAGAACAACGTTCTCACAAACAGACGAGATATATAATTTAAAAACCAAAATATTCACCGTAAAAAAAAAAAAAAAAATCATTTTCCTCTTGAAATTCAAATATTTTATTACATCCTTACATAGATTTTGCATCTCTAATGTATACGCGTACACACACAATCGAGTCAAGGTAATGAACAAAAGCCGATAAAAAAATCCAACGAAACAAAACACGGAGCCTTTTCTCGCTTTTAAAGGATACGTTTCAACCCTATTGCAAACATTCGTCGCTATCCAATTAAGGTTTACGACAAAATACCCCTTTCATCCCTTGAGATTTCCACATACGATTGGTTTATCAGGCTTGATTCAAGCTGGATCATCGATCCAAGGATTCCTCTATGATTTCGCTCTTCAATTTCGCTCGCTCGTGTCCGTTTGTTACCAATGAACTACTTCGACGAGGATTATACAGGTGCGCCGTCTGCGTTGTTTGCCTTCCCTCACTTAGATGGTGGGCTTTTAATAATTTCAGGGGGAATCGTTCGTTCGTACGGAACGAAGGTGAATGTTCCCGTGAGAAGGGGACCGTTTCATTGTGCGGTTTTCGTGGAACTTCGAATCGATATAACGGGTGAAATTAGACTGGCTTTTTATGGTACGATGAGCTGAATTTATATGTGGGTGGGAATGTTTTATGATTGTTGGTGGAGGAAGATATAGATATACCTTTTGTTGAATTTTATTAGAGGGAAATATGCTATGCAAAAACGATTATATATAAGTATTCGGTATATTTTTTTTAATTTGAACGAATGTAAAAAGTTTTTTAAAAATCAAGAAATTGATTTGAACGATTTAATTGATTAATTTCGCCTTTCTATAGGAAGAGTATGTAGAGTTTCCGAGTAAATTTAATATTAAATAATACATTTCTTGTTTATTGAATAATTTTATTGGAATAAAAATTTTAATTAGTGTATAATTTCTAACAAATTAATATTTAATTTTTTGTATTTGCTACATTATGATATATAAATAGCGGATTATCTTTAGTTGTTCGAGCTATATAGATGCTGTGGAGTGATCACTCTAAAATGTAACTCCAAGTTACTATAAATATATCTATTTTAAAACACATTTGCTTTTACATGTATCTATACAGAAATGAAACTTGTAAAAGTTAATCTTCGCACTTAAAACGAATCATGTTATTCCACAATACTATTGTTTTATTATCCGGTAGACATGTATCATATATATATTGTACACTTATATAATCACCACGACCATAATAAATGACTGAGCAACATTTTAACATAACTGTCGATTAACAAGATGAATTCCACTAAAAAATTATCACAGGACATTTCATTATATTTTTCTTTTTCAGTTTTCAAGTCAAATCGTCTCACGTACGTTTTTAAGAAATACTCTCACGACACGCACTATAGTAATCAATTTTTGCCAGGTGCGTCCACGTTTAATTATTTGTTCGTGTCCTCCCTCTTCTTTTCGTCCTCGTCCTCGGTCTCGTCCTCGTCGATGGACAGATCCGACCCGTCGTCCTCCTTCTTATCTATCGTCTTCTCCTCGTCAGATTGATTCAATCGTTCGTTGTCATCGTTTCTGTTCACATTCTCCGGACTCTTCCTTTTTTCATTCTGATTATTGTACTCGTATTCATCTTCGTTTTCGACTACCTCTTCTCCGTCGGTCCTGAAACGCGTCATTTCGAATAATTGTTTATTTATTACCACGATCGTCTCATTGTAACAATTTCATTAATAAATAGATAGATTGTTCTCCAAGGAAATGAAAGTATAGTTGTAATAATCATTGTTTCGTTGAATTTTCACGAACATATCGAGATGGAATGAAATTTATTTTTCATGTTAATAGAATTATTCAAGAAAGTAAGTATCTTTAAGCGTTCAAGCGTCACTATAAATTGGATCATAGTTAATTACAATAGGTTAGGTTAAATTCGCTTCGTTAAATATTACGACATCCTTCTCTTCGTATATTTTTTTATATTTTTCATAAATTTTATAAATATCCCAAAGAATAAAGAAAGATTTGAGCGATAAAATATTTACGTATTACTTCGTAGCGAACAATCTCGAGAAATATTCTCAGATTGACGTTTTATTCAAAATCTATTTACTTTCTTCCTTAGAAATAATGGAATAAATAAGGTAACGGAAAGAGAGAATGTCGTGCACTTTTTTTTTTATGAATTTTAATAAAATTCAGCGAGGCTAATAAAATTAACTTAATGCAATTACCCTTCACGCCTCCTTCCGCGCCTCCTTCTACGCGATCTTCTTCGTCTCCTGGATCCACTCCTCGACCTTCTTCGTCTTCTGGACCTTCTTCTTCTTCGACCTTTTCTTCTTCGCCGCCTTCTAGCATCCTGCACCTCGTAATCTTCGAATCTAAGGGGCGTATGACGTGGACTTCTGTCCCCAACTTGTGAAGCGTCGCGACCTTTGTTTATGTAACTGCTATCGTTCATTAGATCTGATGACACCTGGAGAACCTTGTACGCCGTGTCTTTTGGAATCAGATAGCCCGATTCCACCCCGAAATTGATCGCCTTCTGAATATATTTCTTCATTTTCTTTATACCTGTAAAGCGAACGTATAAAATTTGAATATTTAATTGCAAGCGATGATATTGGTTAAAATAATTAGGAAATCGTGGCAAGTAAAAAGTGTAACGAGTGTATTTGGTTTGTATTTATTTGACGTAGTAACAGTTGGAAGTTTAATGAATGATCCTTTTTATTTATTTATTTTTTTTTTATGATATAATTTCAATTCAGATTAGAAAAATATCGTGTATTTCTTTTCTAAAGTATGATCATTTTAATTAATAAGTCAAAAAATTTCAATATTTAATCACAGATAATAATTAAAAAATGCAATATAGATTTTGCGTATTTTGTAAAGTTGTTTTATTTTAAATGATTCCATTGTGTACGATATTTATTTACCTATATGTGTTTTTTAATTAATTTCTGCAGTGTTTGTTTATTGGAAAAATACGAGATACAGCATGTGTAAATTGTTAATTTCGGTTGAATGATTAAATGTATTACCGCATAAAAGAGAAATGGTCGTACGCTTATTGTTTTATTTAGATACATTAAATGGATATATTAAACACGAGATAAATAGGAAATCGGATTGTCGTTTAATCGATTCCAATAATGATAACTCTCTGTTGCGTTAATTAATCATTTTATCGTACTTTTATAGCTTTACAATAAAAAGTTCATTTATTGTGCCGAGCTTTTTATGCTTATTAAACAATTATCCCCAGAACATAATAAATGTTATTCAGAAACAGATTATGTCCAGACGAATTAATAAATACGAAATAATTATCTTCAGGCGCGAATCATTCATTATTTCATTTAATAATGGATCTTTAAATAAACGCGAACAATTAGAATAATTAGAATTATATTTTTAACACAATTATGCATTCTAGTCATCTGTTTTCAATTCATAATAAATTATTGATTTATCGATATTTAAAATCACTTTAATCATACTCACGTATCATTTAAAAAAGAATTATAACAAAAAAAATCACAAAAGAAAGGAGAAAGAAACGGCATCGGAGCGCATTGATCGTGCATTAAAAAAAAGAAAAAAGAAAAAAAAATTCCGTGATAATTCTATCATAAACCAAGAAATCGAACAATCTCTCAATCCGTTTTTCAAACAGTGTGTATCATCACTCGGACAAAATTTTCTTTACTTTCATTTCCTCTTACCCTCCCCTCCGCTGCCCTTGTGCATGCAGGACGAGAGAGTTTGGTCCCTGGAGGTTTGCCGCCGTTTCACACGGTGAATCTTGGAATTCCTCGCCGACTCTTTTCTTTTGTTGGCCATATTGCCGCCAGGCTGAGAATCCTGAGAATTCGAAGCTTCTTCACGGCGCTTAAATCGTTTACAGATCGAACACTTCGGGCCGATGTAATTCTGCAACGTCTCGCCGATCTGCCCTCTACCCCTCTCGAGGCTGAGAAATTTGTACACAAGCTTTGAGATGTTGGGTTTACGTCGCAGCTCTGAAACGTGAACAATCATAGATATCATCCAGATCATCCGATTGGAAACGGGGTGTACTTCGTTTCGACAACTTTTTCGCGCGAACGACGACAGGATTTATTATCGGTGAATCGATGAATCGGAGAATCGTCGCCATTCCAATTCGAGTTTCCAGCTAATGAATGCGAAAAATTCATTGGGGAAAAATAGGTATTCGAGAATAGTTAGTTTGTTTGACCAAGTGTGAGAGACGTGGTGAGAATTTATTGGCATTTCTTGGTTGGCATGCGAGCATTTATCGACATTCTCGAGAGTGATCTGAGAAATTTGACGTTCGGAGTTTAAAAGTTCGAGAATGGATATTATAGAGTAGCGATTCTAAAGTTGAGAAGATAATGGGATTATGAGAAATTGTAAATAACAGGAGGATTCGAAGTTTCGATATTGAAATTTTTAATTTTTTAAAATTCGAGCATAAATCTTGGAAATCTGATTTGAAAAATTTAACGATGAAATATATATATATATATTGTCCTATTTAAAAAAAATATCCTATTTCTTCAAAATCTCGAATCATAAAACTTTATCGCGAAGTTGAGAAAGATTCGACTTGAAATGTAATCTGGAAATGAAACGAAAGATTAGTTTTTTCGTTCTTTTTAACAATTGAGAAATACCACGGTGGAGAGGTACGTAATGGAATTCACGAGGGAAATGATGTTTCCGCGTTGCAAGTATTGAGCGAAGCTTGGTATTCCAGATCGTTCGAATCGATTGAAAAATGACAGAAGGAATATAAAGTATTTGAACGGATGGGCGTCTAATATAGTAAACAAAAATAAACGTTGGAACTATGAACGATTGCTTTCGTGACAATTATTGATAATAAGAAAAAGTCGGTCAACAAAGCTTGGTTCGTAGTCATCGTGTTTCTATTTTGAAGAGAAAAAACGGGTAAGTACTTTAACCTTGTTGATATTATAAAACTATTTAATCAGAACATTTCTAATATTTAATCTCGTAAAAGATCGAGGTGAGTATATCATTTCGATATTATATGATGCTAAAAAAAGAAACGTATTTATTTCCATATATCAAATAATTCTACACTTCGATCGATCGATCGAATTGTCAAAATATGAATAATTAAAACAATTGGTTTAACAAATGTATTGGAGACTTTTTTTAAATAATATTTCAACTCAGTTGCTTCCTCTTATCACAAAAAAATAAAAGGATTGAAAGTTTTTTTTGAACAGAACATCTTAATATAAGTTTTGGTCCTCTTTTGTCGCGAAAATAACAAAAATGAAAGAATATATTTTTTTTGACACAATGCTCGAGTTCGAATATCACGATTGCAAGAGAGGAAATTTAATCACTTTGAATTTTTCCTATCAAGTCTTTTTTTTTCAAGATGATCACTCACTCATCTTGTGGTGGCTTCGCGCATGAGGACGTCTCTTTATGGGGGCCATTTTGTGCTTACTGTTGAATCCGAAATTTTTCGGGACGTCCGCACCTGCTTACGAGCCGCCGTTTTTTCAAAAGGACTTCGTCAAACGACCCAAATTTTTTCTAAGATTTTCTTTGGTCGTGGCGCGAAATTTTGTTTGTGAATTTCCAGAACATTGATGAAAGGAAGAGAGGCACGCCCGGCGGTGCCAATCCGTCGGTTCCTTTCGCCTATTCTCTTCTTTTTCATAAAACAGCAAAATTCCGCCTGTCACGCTGCATTTGCTCGTTTTTCGTTATCTTTTCGCGCGTTTCGTAAAGTAGGCGGTGATTCATCACGTGAAGTTGTCCAAGACACTTACCACTTGAATCGAAACAATACTATTAATCCTTTAATGTATATTTTTCGTATATTTTTTTAACGAAGGAAAGATAATTGCATATTTCTTCCAGAATTTTCTTAATTTAAAATTATTGATATCTATAATTTTTTTTCTAATAAATTACACAAACATTAAAAATTCTGCAAATCAGATTAAATTGAAATATATTGATCTGCCATGAATAATTTTTTTAATTCGTCACTTTCCAAATACGATCGAGAAATATATATTTTCTTCTTTAGTTCCTTGTTTAATTTTCGATATATTATTACATCTACGCGGAAGGAAGTACCCTCCAATTTCGCATTAAGATTCCAGTTATAAACCAGCACTTTATAACATCTGAACTATTTTCCGTCTGTCGATCCTTCTATCCACTTTTCGTGCATGGACGTACACATTGAAAGAATCATGGCGACTTCCGACTCGTGGAACCAATAGGCGATCATCTCGAGGCCGTGTAACCCATGAAGAGTGACGAGGTCAAACACACCGTGTCTGGTCGACAGCAAACGACCGGGAAGACGTGTGGTGGGTTGAGAGAGAACGGTATCGATTTGTATTTATTGACATCGAATAGACGTCAATCCCATGCAAAATTATTTACTGTCCGATTGTCAAGATTCCTGATTGAAAATGATAGTTTTTAATTGGATTAAACAATTTATTGATGTTGTTTTTGATATATCATTACATTTTCTTTCACGAAAAATCAAGTAGGTTAATTGGAGTCTTCTTGTATGTTAATTAACGAAATATCGTTTGGAATAATAATATTTTTCTTCATTCGCATTGTGTTTTCAATTATCACGAAACCTGATATTTAAAACTGAATTTGATATTTAAATTTTCGTTAATTTTAAATAATGAAACCTTTCAAATCTTTCTCACCTTTAAAGTCGCGATGAAATTTTACATGAAAATGTTTAAATGTTATAAGAAGTTAAAAAAAGAAATATAATTTAAATTTTTTTTCATAATAGAAAATAAACTTTTAACTACCTGAAAAGGGAATAAATTTGTTCACACAATATGGAATAATCCACGGTTTTCATTTCAGAATTACAATTATTATTTCAATCCGTAATTCTATTAATGATTCTGAAAATGATCAATATTAACGTATAATCGAATGCTTATTGATATTACGTTTCACAGTGGAAAAAAATTTTTTTTATTCTAAATTTGATTACAAAAATAAAGAATCAAAAAAGTTACATAAACAACAACAACAACGGTAATAATAATAATAATACATTCCTAATTGGATAAAACGTTATCAAAATTTCTTCTCATAAATTTAGTTCACAAAAATTTTTCTCTTAAAAAATTTTTTACAATCTTCCTTCTTTTATTCTTCGTAAATAACTCTATTCAGTATATAGTTTAATTCAGATACTATATCATATCGTTTTCGTTTCTTTCCTCGTTCAAAGATTCTATCTTTTCTTCGATCTCCTCTTCCACAGGATTTTCGGATGGAACGTTGCAATTTCGCGAAGCATTCTCTTTGCTGATCGATTTTAATCGTCCCATCGACATTCTTTCGTTGACTTCGTGACTGTTGATGATCGAGATATCTTCATTGTCGCTGAAACTTCTATTATTTTTCCTGGAATTTTCGTTTCTTTCCTTTGTACAAACTGACTTCGATCGCTTCCTTTGATTTCGTCTGTTCTCGTCGTGTCTGCTTAAACTTCGCCTTCTCTTTCGACTTTTTAAATTCTCCTCGCTTTTACCGTTACAAAAATTGTCAATTAATAGATTAATTCTGAAATATAATAATAATACAATGTTATTTCCCATAAATATCCATGCTCTCGTGAACAGCAATTCTTACTATAAAATATGTCGGATGAAAATATAACGTTTCATGTAAAATTAATTTTTTTCAATAATAATTATCGATAATTTATATAATAAATTATGAATTATCAATATAATATTATACAAATACAATTGTTAATTAACATAAACTGTATACTTTAAAAAATATTCTATCCTACATCAAATTTTTAAACGAAAAAATCGTATTCGACGATTTTCTAAACAATTTCTCTCTCGACAAATAAGAATTCGATGATAAATTAATTAACAAATCCGTTATGAAAACAAATTAAAAAAAATCCCTTATAAAATTAAAACAATGAGAAACACGTGTCAATATTCAAATCACTAACTTCCTCCTGGTCATCTTCCTTCTGCTTTGTCGCGAAGAACGTTTTTCGAATTTCTTCTTTCGAATTGGACTCTTCTTCAAGCTCGAAGATTTCCCCCTTTTCTGCAAAGGATTTTCTTGCGATTTCGGCGTATCCTCGCGTTTCTTTATCTTCCAAGGAGGGGTAGGACAACGATCCTTGCTGCCGATCAACGGGTCATCCTCGCCCCTTCGGGCCCTTCTTCGCCTCTTGCGTGACTCCGCGTTGCTCCTCTTCGTGTCCATCAATGTTGGCGCTACTCGTATTACTTGTCCTTCGCTATCGGTCGGAATCAAGTAACCGGATTTCACGCCGAAAGAAAGCGCCTTGCGAAGATACTTCTTAGCTTGCCGTTTTCCTAAATATAGAAAAAGCTTCTTTGTCGTTTTCACTGCTTTGTAAAATCGTATGCAAAAGATAATACAATAGATAGTAAAATTTATTCTTTGCCCAAGTGAGTTGTTTAGAATAATCGGTAAGAAAAATTTTACCGAATGATTTTTACTGAATATTTTTTAATTGACAAGAAAATATATATGGAGCAAACGTATTTTATCATATTTATCGTTTTTTTTTCATATATAATCGAAAAATCTTATCCAGCTCCATAACAAAAAAATTGAAAAATTAAAAAGTCAATATACGAAATCTATTTTCTCCGCAGCATCGAAAAAAAGAAAAAGAAAA